GCATTTATCTATTAAAAGTTATCCTAACCTTACAGACTACGCATCAGTTATTAACCAGGATAGCAGTGAGCCCTTGAGAAGCTGATGGTGAGCATCTCCCATGCAGGCTTCTCAACTGTGGCCTCACAGCCAGACACTGTGAGGACCTGACCTCAGTGCTCTGGGCCAGCTCCAGTGACTGAGCTCGACCTGCAGCTGAATGACCTGGGCGACCATGGGGTGAGGCTGCTGTGTGAGGGACTCAGGAATCCTGCCTGCAAACTCAGAATCCTACTGTAAGTGAGGCCATGGAATTCCCTCTGGGGAGGAGACAAGGGAAGGGACGCAGGTGTTTTACTAGATGACAAGACATAACAAAAGGGGACAGATAATGCATGAACAGCCTGACTCCTGACCAGCTGTGCCACTTACACCCGTAGACTTGGGTAAGTGGCTTTCTTCTCTAGAACTCAGTCTCCTCATCTATCAAATGGAATGTCGCAACCACCTCATGGATAGTAATGATACAACATGTACATACGTAAAAACAAAGATGATACCAGGTAGGTAGCTGGGCATTGTACAATCATTTGCATTAGCAAGGCTATTATCCTAACAGACTCCCAGGTTTGCCTTACTCCAGGACAGTGCTTCAAATATTTATTCATTCATGAATACACTATACATGCATTCACATTAGGCCCCTGTGTACCAAACCCTGGTCCAGGCCCTATGGATATAATCAACCACACGTGGCTTTGTCCTCCTGAAGATGTGTGGGAAGAGACAGACATATGTCACCTGTCAGCCGTGACTCAGTATTGACAAGCTCTGCCGAAGGCTGTGGAGTCAAAAGTGTGGTGAGAATGCAATGCTGTGAGAGGGCCTGCTTTATTGAATGGCCCAGGAGGGCTTCTCCTAGGCCTGATGGAGAAATTGACCTTGGTTGGGCCAACCTGGAGACAGCAGCCCAGGCAAAGGCAGAGTTGGGGAAATCTCTGGAACAGAACGTGGCTGGAGCGTTTTGAGGTCCAAGATATTCACTACAGGAGCTTGATGTGGCCCTCTGTCCAGAATCCCTTTAGGATTATGGCCATGAACTCCAGCCACCGGAAATGCTGATGGCTACTGTGCTGCCCTGTGCCAACAAGAGTACCCTCATCTGTGACAGTTTTCCCTTCCTTGGGAGAGTCTGTTTCCCGTGATTGACCTGTGGAGGGGGTTATAAATGGCCAGC